GGTGGCTGCCGCGGGTCCTGGCGCTTCTCGCCCTTGGGGACGGTCCTGTCACCTCCTGGAGGCCCGCTCGTCCCCGCGGTCCCGGTCGGGCGCTGCGCGGTGCCCGTGCTGGCGGCAGCTTCGGCAGCACTGGAGGTGGACCGTTGGGAGGTGGCACCTTCCCAGGACCCGCAGGGTCTGGCAGAAGCTGAACGTCAAGCGGTCGCGCTCACAGACGAAGCCTGGAGGGGAGGCGAGAGGGCAGGGACAGCGTTAGTGCCGGCGCTGCCGGCGCGGTTATCAGGCGCTTGGCGCAAACACTGGCACGCGGTTGGCAGAGACAAAGACAGACCTCAGCACATGCAGAGCCCACCCTCACCCGGGTACTGAGCATCCTCCTTATTTCTAATTGCCAGCAGAAATAACACCTCTGCTGTTGCCTACAGTTCTGCGGCATCTTCCCAGGGTAGAGAAACCATACGGGGGAGTGGGGCTGAGCCCGGGGCTCACTCCCTGGGGAGGAGGGTCTGCGCTGGAGGCCTGGGAGAGGTGACAAACCTCCCCGCAACGACGTCTCCCCCCAGTCCCAGACCTCCCCCGCAATGCCAGCAGGCGATAATTCATTTTAGTTTCCATTGTGTTTTGATTATTTCGAGAACCCGCATCATCTGGTTCACTTCCTGCAGGTGTCTCGCAGACCTCAAAACAACATCGGTGCTGCTTCGAGGACGGGCTTTGTTTTGGGAACTGCCGCTCCAACGCCAGCACCCGGCCCTGCAGCGGGGGCAGCGCCCGGGCCAGCTGAGCAGCAGCCGCGGTGGCCATGGGTCGCAGCCTGGCCACCCCGGCTGAGTCACTCGCAGGCTGAGCAAACTGTTTGCAGAAACTGTTTCCTCTCTGCAAACAATGTGAAAATCACAAATCCCTCTCCAGGGCCAGGAGCGCCGCGTCGGGGCGTCTGGTCCAGCGCTTGGGCTCGCAGCGTGGGGACACGCGAGCGCTGCCCCAAAGAGACCTTGTCCTCGGGGTGCGATAGGGTGGTACGTCCCACCGCCCCAAACGCCCCCACACCCGCCATCGCAGGCGAACCACGGTGCTGTGCGTCCCACGGGATGGCGTGGGACGTGGCGAGGAGGGGACAGCCCTCCCGTGTCGGCGGCAGAGGCCGCAGAAATCAGCCCCAGCAGCTCCCAGCTCCATCGCCAGCCTGACCAGGCTCAAACAGGCGGTGGCTCGGCTTACTTACAGCGGCAGAGATCCATCACCAAATGTGCATTGTTTATAAGCATTCATAGTTGGTTTGCTGTCGTTTTAAATTCCTCCTTTCCTACTTTCTACTTTCTGTCAAAACATGCACATGCCTCATTGAGCCTCCAGCATCTCACCCAGTTGTGTAAAACTCGTTTAGATTACATGAACTCTGGCTAATTTTACCTCTCATACAAGAGATTAAAATAAATGACAGTTCTTCTCTGAGAAAGGGCAGAGTTGATGCTCCTCAGGGCAGATGTGTGGGGCCAACACCCCCCGTTCCCCCCTGCGCTGCCTCCGCCCGGGACCACACTGAGCAGACACAGAAAAGGCACAAGAAAAAGGTCTTTTCTCTTTCTCAGGACACTTTGCTGCTGCCAAACACCAGGAGCGAGCCGGGAGAGCTCTTGCTGACCACTGCCCTCGCCATCTCCCCTCTGTGAACAAAAGGCTCTGCTCAGGGAAAGGCTGCTGCCCCCATTCCCACGCGGATGAGCCGACCCGCAGCGGTTAATGCGAAGGACGCAGCGGACGCAGAGCAGAGACTTTTCCCCTCGTTTGGGATTTCAATCACAGCCCTCACCCCCCACCAGCCCATCAGTAAGGAGGTCACTATACGGCTCTAAAATTAATTTTCTATTTCAGTAGAGGTATTTCCTCTCTTCCTCTTGAGCAACAGCTATTTCTGCCCGGCAATAGTGTCTCTGTGCCCTGAAGAAAGCGTTTAACACAGAAGCTGCTGCCACTGCCGGCTCCAGCGGCCGCCAACGGACCGGGACCGAGCGCCACATCCCAGCCCCACATCACCCTCCCAGGCCGGGGGTTCGGTCCAACCCCCTGAGCGCTGGGGGATAACGCAGCTTTTTCCTGCTGGTTGAGCAGAGCGGGTGAGGAATAGCTGTGAAGCCCAGAGAAGGATGGGCTGGGAGCAGTGCATGTCCCAAACCTGCCGGGAGAGCAGCCACACCACGCGACAGCACCAGAGCCCGTCGGGAAAAGGGGTCAGTTTACTCATGCAGTGCTCCATCGGGGTCTCAGGGATGGTATTCCTTGGGAGCATCCCTGCGGCTCCGCACGGCATCCCCTGCACCCCCAGAGCCCTTTCGCACTGGGACATTCCAGCACATGAATTCCCGTTTACACGTGCTGCAGGACAGGGATGCCTCAAGCAGGGATCCTGAAACACCTCTGGGATGTCTGAGGAGAGAGAAAAGCCTGAGGGCATGTCGGCCCAGAGAACCCCCGCTCCTGCCCCCAACGGCTGGCGACGGCAATACCGGGGTGACGGCAACACCGGGGCGCACCAGCTGAGCCTTAGAACGCGCTGCTGCCCAGCGCCGGCTCAGCACACCCATCTCGGCCATCTCTCCCCTCCAGCAGGATTCGGTCATCATTCACTCTTCACTGGGGCACGACCGCTGGGTAACCCCCACCTGCCTGATCAGTGCTTCCCACGGGATTTATAAACTGGTGGTGTTTTGCGTGGCTGGTTTTGGAAGCAACACCAAATAGGAGAGATGGGGAACACAGCGATGGCTCCCGGCAGGCAGGGACAGGGCTGGCATGCACTGGGGGGGTAATTATCCACTGCGTTGCACGGAGCAAGCGTAACCGCAGTAAAAACTCCATGGTGTTTAGAAGAATACAGTTAAAAATACTGCATGGATGGAGAGGAATGTCACCAGTGTTTCGGAAGGTCAGTCCCGGGGCGACGCTCCCGCAGGATGCCGTGCCGAGGCAGACCCCCCCTGAGCACCTCGGTATTTTTAGCCCCAGCGCCGCCGTGCCTTACTGGGCTCGTCTCTGTCCACGAGCCCTCTGCTTATCGCAACGGCCTTCCTAGAAAGCTATTTATGGATCGCAACCAAGCTGCCTCCTGCCTTCCCTTGAAAGAGCTATGAAGGTTAGGCTCCTGGAGCACCCCCCGGAAAGCTGCTTTCCAGGACCAGAGGTGATGGTTGAGCTCTTTTCCAATCCCTTTCCAAGGGGTCGGCACCCCGAGCGCTGGCACGGAAATCCCTCTACCTGCAATACACAGAGCCACACACGGGCATAAATAAGGCCACGGGTCTCCTGCCAGAAGTTATTTCTCTTTGTACACACGTTATCAGCAAAGGTATGAGCGGAATAACAGCTGGGGTGGGCTTAGCGGAGGATGGAGAGGAGCCCCCACTCTTGGTGGAGGCATCGCCGCCAACTCCGCTGCCGACCTGCCAGCAGACCCCGCAGCGGGACCCCGCGTTCCCAACGCGACTTCATAAAACGAAGTCAATGGGAGTTGTTGAGCGCTCGTCAATTTTTCCAGATGGGGCTGTGCTTCGCTCGGCCGTACCGCCTCAGCGTGGATGTGTGCGGGGTCAAGCTCAGGTCTGGAAATCTTGGCTGCGCTCATGATTCCTCCCTGGAATTCGGTTTTGGGCAAGGGAGGCTGTAATAAGCACTTAATTTTTCAGCTCTTCACAGAGGTTCCCTACAGAATTGACCCAATTTTCATTTAATGCTTTTACTGTTCTTTTATTCTCTTAAATTAATTTTTTTTTAATATAATCCTAACACTTCATTTGAACATACGCTCCAGTGTTCAAGTCTATGCCAAATTTTAGTCTAAAGAAATAGCTTAAAGCAGAGCTTTTAAAATCCAGGCTAAGTCAGCACATTAGAAACTGAAAACCCCCACTTATTTTTGGTTGTTTTTTTAAGTTGGCGTGGAAGTCGCTTTAAATTTCATTTAAAGCTCCTGCCATACAGACCTAAGCGTTTACTTTCATGCTCAGGGAAAAATAAACTTCCTGGAACAGGTTTTGTAAAAACAAGGAAAGGTTGAGCTTAGAGCTGAGCTAGCAAAACCGGCGAATTACGCGGCTGACCTCTGGCCTCGGGGATGCTCTCAGAGCCGGTGCCGAATTCAACAAGTATTATCCCAGGCTCCTGCGCCGGGGCACACAGTGTGCTCCCCTGGGAACAAGCACTGGCCAAGGCAGTGCATTTCGTCGCAGGCAGCACCGGAGCCGGGGTGGCTGGTCAGCACGTCTGCCATCCGTGCCCCGCTGCCAGGGCTGCCGGCACAGGCGGGCACCGGCACGGCCGTAGCTTGGAAAACTGGGAGAAAAGCACAAAAACTCGCCAGTTTTGGGGGGTTGGCCCTCCCTGCTGCTCCCGGCACATCTCGCTCAGCCCCAGCGCTGCCACGGAACTCCCGACGACACCCCTGAGCATCCAGCCTGGGGATTACACACCAAAGGCAGGAAAACGCCGGTGCGCTCTAAGGGTTTCAGAGAGATTATCCATTTTTCAGAGTCTCTGCATCCCCCAGCGAGAAATTCTGATCTCGCTGCGGCAGAGCCAGGACTTTCCCTCCGCCCTGCGTTGCCTTCCCCTTCCTTCTCCTGAGCGCGGGGAGGGGGAAAAAGAGGCAGCTCTGCCGAAACGAGTGGCTGAGCATGACCCCCGCCTTCCTCTCCACAATCCCAAACCGCTTTGAACACGTCGTGTCCAGAGCTTCCCACAGCCAACCCTGCACGGAGCAATGGGGCCCGAGCAGACAGCCGTGTCACATCTACGGAGTTTTTACTTCTTCTGCCTTTTTTTAAGATGAAATTAGGCGGGGTAACGGTGCTTGGCAGCAGCGCTGAGCCCTCCTCTATTTCAAGACTGAGGGAAACCG